CCATCCAGAACTGATTATCTAGCAACAACCAAGACTTCAGGTGAAGATTTTGGAGCTTTCAAGAAAGTGTTTCCCATTTCAGAATTTGAGCACATCTGTGGCCTCAGAGCTGCTTTTCTGATGGCTCATAATGAGGTAGGTCACACTAACTGACATACCCTGAGTTTCCTTGCTAGAGTCCCCAGTCAAAACTTCTGTGCAGGAGAGAAGACTTGGTCAGAAAAGGGACCATGATATCCAGTATTACAGAATATCCACAGTAGCAACCTGCCCATTTGTTTTAAAGAAAAATGGACAATCAGTGGTGGCAAAACTTGGGGTGAGATCTCCCAAACAATTAGAGTTTTCCAGAACTGAAGAAGAGTCTTCAAGTCAAAAGGACCCCCTAGTGTCCAGGAAAATAAGTGTAGAAAGACCCACACCTAGAGTGTCATAAACTTGCAGAATACCAAGATTAAGTGATGATTCTCAAAGCTTCAAAGACAAAAAAACCCAAAACACAAGGAACTAAGAGTCATACTGACGTCAGACTTTTTCCCCCCAACTTCTATTAGAGAATAGAAAATAATGGTGAAGCAAATTCAAAATTCTGTCATAAAGTTATTTTTAATCTAGAAATCTGTATCCAATGAACTATCAATTTAGTGTGAGGGCAGAATACATATATTTTCTTGCATGTAAGTTCTCAGAAGGTTGACTATTTGCAGAGTAAGAATATAGTCCAACAAAATTTGAGAATAAAACCAAAAGAGGGAAGTGTATGAAATACTGAAAACGGTAGGCTCAACAAATAGAAGTCATAAGAAAGGTGTCATGAGGTCAGTGTGAAGTAGAACAAGAACCAGCCCATTTAGGAAAAACAAGACAGAGGGCTCCGAGCGGGAGAGCTCGCTAGAGTAAAACCAGTGTCTGACTCTAGAAAAAGCTCAGAGCCAGAGTCTGCTAAATGCAAATAATGCAAGGGAGAAAATTTCAAATAGAATTCCTGAGCAAAACAAAAAATTGGAGAGGAAAGTCGTGGTTCATATGTGATGGTAAATGATACATGGCATGAAGTTCAGCTTGGTAACCTTAATTTTTTCTTCAAGCAGCATTACCTCAAGCTACTGGACTCACAAGGAGGAAACGCAATCCAAGCACGACTTGAGTTTTTAATGACGATGTTTATATAATCATAACTATAGAAATGTTGTTTATTGGGTCCCAGTTTTTAGAGTCAGTCGAAAGACAAAAGGGCTTGACTAGGGTCAGTGTAAATATCGACAACTTGTTAACAGTGTAGCTGAAGGAGTGTGGGATTTAGAAAGGGAGAGGAGAAAGCTGGGAAATGGTTGAGCGGAGCGTGGGTGCCAATCTCCTTACCACACAAAGTGGGGAGTCAGCAAGAGAGTCTCAAAAGTCTCTGGGGTGTGCTGTGTTAAGTGATCAAGGTAACCAACAGAACAATAAAAAAAATTGAAGCATGAATATCACACTCTGAGAGGAGGAATGTAACAGATGCTCTTGGTCCCCTGCCCATATCTGCATAGCCTACCCTGCAGGCCACCACAGCCACTTCCTGCACACCTGATGACCTCCTGTGTCCCTCTCTGCTGGAACGGGCTTGGCCTACATTGGCCAAAAATGCTGGGAAGAGGGCCCAGGAATAATCCTTAACACATGAGGACGAGAGTCTGCTTTCAATGAGACAGCTCTGCGTGGACCCTTCTTAGAAGGGCCCCAGAGATCCTATGCCCAGTTGCCCACAGAGGGAACATAAGTGAGCAGGACCCTATGGGACCTTCCCAGGACAGACTCCCCCCTCCAGGCCTATGGGCACCTAAGAATTGATGACGTTACCCACCCACCCTGTTACCTCAACATCCACCAGTCAGAGAACCGTGCACGAGCTGATCATGGACCCTGAAATCCCTTCCTCCACCCCAACCTCACCCTTAAAACTGTGTTGCTGAAACCCTTTGGGGAGTTTGGGGGGCATGAGCCACCCGCTTTCTTTGCTCGGCCCTGCAATAAATCTTTCTCTGCTCCAAACTCTGATATTTCACTTTGTTCAGCCTCACTGTGCAAGTTCAGAACAGCAACTCACTCATTAATCCACTCTTCACTGGTTTTTCTCCCTTCTGTGTGACACCTCCCACTTTTTTACTGTGCTTCCCAGAATTGCCTTCCCAAACAAACAACTTGTACATAATTGTTCTCTCAGGGTCTGTTTTTAGGTGGAACCAAACTAAACTATAAAATGTGATTCAAATCTTTTTTTTCATATGCAGGAACTGATATATTCTCTAAATTTGATCAGGCAAGAAATGGCAGTTTGAGCATATTACACAGTCATGGTGAAAACCACCAGAACACATTAGAACAGTAACATTAAAAGAGTTTTTTGTTTTGTTTTGTTTTGTTTTTGTTTTTTTCCCAAAGCGGGAGGTAATTAGGTTTATTTATTTATTTATTATGGAGGTGCTGGGGACTGAGCCCAGGACCACATGCATGCTGAGCACACACTCTACCACTGAGCTGTACCCTCCCCCCGAAAGAGTTCTGTCTGATGGAGGGAGCGCTAGGATGGGAGGCTTTGCTTTTTATTACAGAGTGGCAGAGGACATAAACAGACGATTGATTTATAAAACTTGAATATAAACTTCTCAGACTTCCTAGTAACCAAAGAAATACAGTGATGAGTTATTTTTCATTTATGTAACCAAGTTTACATAGGTAACAAGGGTGAAGTGAAGTGAAATTTTTTATACAATGTGAAGAGAAACAAGCACAGGACAACAGAGCTGAAGTGAAATGAGCACTTTTTCGTACATGGCCAGAAATTTTAAACTTACACGACCTTCCTTCAAAAGCAATTGAGTGATTTGGTTAAGAGCGTCAATATTTTCTAGACCCTCTAACTCTGTAATTTCATTTCTTGGGAACAATTCCAGAAGATGAATCAAAAATACATTCACCCATAAAGATGAATTGTTATTTACAACAGTGAAAACTAAAATAATCTAAATACTCAAAATTAAGGGGAATTATAAGTAAATTATATATGCATACAAGAAAATGCTATGAAGACATTACATGTCATGGTTTTGAAGGGTTTTTATTCACATGGGAAGATGCATGTGGTCTAAAGTGAGATGGAGAAGGAAGAATATAAAATAACTTTTAGATAATTGAGACAGTAAGTTACCTACTTTTTATAAAGACAAGGAAAAAATGTTATGTAATGTGGTAAAATTCTAGCTGGAATCAGACTTTGAAAGAGGACTTTATTAGAAAATTATCTTTAAGACATTTGGGGTTGAGTCGAAATATCAAAGTGTACAGGTAACATGATGATTAATAAATTTCTATGTATGAGAAAGACGGATTAAATTTTTGTTTGTTTGTTTTGGTATGGCTACCAAGAAGAGGCAGAGAGAAAGAGGTAGGGGACGGGAGAGAAAAAGGCCATGAGGTATACGACAAGGCTGTGCCTCAGGACACAGCCTCCACCAAACCTTTTAGTACAGTCTCCCAAACTCATGTAATATAATTTTTGTGAAGGCTGTTGGCAGAAGAGGCTGTCATGCTGTGTGCTTTGTTCACGGCATGGTACAGGTAACGTGCAAGGATTCTGGGTCCCAGCCACTGAGTGGCAAGGATAAGGTAAGCTTCCCAAGAGTGAGCAGGTGTCTTTGGAGGGGTGGTGTGGCTTTGAGTTCCATAGGTGGTGGGTTCAGAAGGGGAGTTTAGGAAACTTTACCTATATTTGTATCAGCAGAATTATACCTACATTACAAACCATATCAAGCAAGGACCTTGACTGTAAGTGACAAAAGGACCCGTTAGAAGGGTCTAGGCCACCTGAACCAGGACTTGGGAGTCTGAACCATTGACACACACACCCTCTTGGTCCTCTCTTTCTTACTGTATCGGCTTCATTCTCTCCTGCTGCTTATTGGATTTCTCCATCTGCTGTAATGTGATTGGCAACAGTTTACAGTATTAATCCTAACAGCCTTATGATTAGCTTAAGGCCTCAGAGTGAGACAGGAGGGAAGGGAGCAGGGCACACCATTAAAAGAACGACACAGCAATTAGCACCAAGATGGCGGACGATTCAACTCCCAATAGGACTTGAGCTTCATTATACGCTCACTGTAATATGTTAGCATGCTAAATGGCACTCCCACAGACGCCATGGCAGTTTCAAGTTTGACCATTAAAGGCCTAATTCCTGTGAATCCCAGCCCCTTCCCCAAAGTAGATGAAATATTCCTCCCACGTGTTACCATATGAAATTACTGAGCCCATAAAAACAACCTTGTATCTCATGGCCTCTCTCTTGCCTTGTGAGATGGCCCACACTCTGCCTATGGAGGGTGCACCTCTCTGAATAAATCTACTTTTATTCAGCTATAGCTTACTCTTGAATTTTTTCCTGCACAAGGCCAGGGACCCTCACTCGATGCGACACGTCCCAGGGACTCACCGGAGACCTGGGGCATGGCCAGACTCTCCCGCCCCAGTTTTCCTGTATCAAGAGGGCTTGACATCGTTCATGTGCCCATCTCTTTGCCATCATCGTGGCTGAAAGAGCAAGTTTCCCCAGCGGCTCAGCTGTGGGCTGGGAGTTAGGCCCGATACTGGGAGGAGGTCAAACAAAGCCCGCGGAAAATTCTGACCCTAGCCTTGTCTCCACAACACAAATAAATCCATACAAAGTCCAAAGTTACACAAAGACTACCAAAAAGTTGTAAATCAGGAATCTAAAAAACTGTTAGTCGCCTCCTGGAGAAACAGCTGAAACTGTGGAATATCTGAGGCCTATTAAGCCATCGGGCTATGGAGACCAGAACACGTGGACACCTGTCCTACCAGCATCCAAGAACTGTCCACGATACTAAACCTTATAAACCCACTCGAGGGAGCTTTCTAACACAGACGACAACCAAAGGATGATGTAACACATGCTTAGTAAGTAGACAGGAAATTTGCTAAACAAACAACAAACCCAGTCAACTTCCCTAGCGCTCCCATTATGCCTCAGGCAGCCTTTATCTCTCTGCAAAACAACTCTTCTCTCTCCGCCTTCCCTTTTGTCACCCACAGTCAAAACCACGCCTGTACCCACCCTCCTGCTGGTCCTCATGCTCTGCTCTTCGCTGGCAGCAGCTTATCATGTGGACCCATCTGCGCTAATGTGTGGCATCACCCGGGTAACAGAGCTTATCGTGGACGACCAAGGATAAATCTCCCTGTGTCCAAACTCTGTCCCCAGGGCCGAATTACTTTTCTCTAAAAGCCAGTGTATTTTTCATTAAAATGCTTGCAAATCCTTCAGGTTATTAGGTTTATGGCAGCCACATTAAGCAGAACAGCAATGATTTATGTAAGAAGTTAGGCCAGGATCTTCGCTTTGTTCAATAAAAAGGTTCACAATCTACAGCTGCTCTTTCAGGTCCTGCAGCGTTGCAATACCGAAGCATCTCTCTGTGACTTCAACAATTTCCCTACTTTGTTTCCCAGGAGGTTATCAGTTCTCCTTGGAACTGCTCAAGATTTACAGCCCGGAGAGCCCAGCTATGATGTCCAGGACTCTGCAGAGAGAGCAGTGGGGGTTTTGATTTGGTACAACTTCCAGATCTGGCCCTGCTAGGCCTTAGGACTTCAGGCAAGTCACTTAATGAGCTTCAGTTTCCTCCAGTGTAAAGGTAGGTATTAATAATACCTTACTGAGTGTTGTTCAGATTAAATAAATACTGAATGAACCACTCTGCCTGTCTGTGGTGTCCCAGCCTCAGGCTGTAGTCCTCTGTAAGTCATAAAACATAAATTCATAAAACATGAGTTCTCAACTTTAAGGTTGTGGATTTTTTTTTTTTGGTCGACAGACAGAAATCTATCAGAATTCTTCGTTACAGTCTTGCAAAGCCCTGCTTCACTTGTTCTCAGTTAATGGCATCAGTGACCACCCGAGCTCCTGAGACCACCACCTTAGGGTCACTGTGGACCCTTCTCATGGCCTCATTCCCACACACAACCCACTTTGAAAGCGATTCTACAATAGCCTCACAGTCCCCGCAGCCATGGTCTCAGAACAGGCGTTTCTCAGCCTCAGCTCCACTGGCCTGGGCCGGACAGTTCTCGGCTGAGGGGCCGTCCTGTGCACTAGGCGATGCTCGGCAGCATCCATAGCCTCGTGCCGGTAGCTCCCCACAAGGGACGGAGCACAGGACGGAAGGAGTAGGAAACCAACCCACTGCCCTGATGCTAAAGCTGCTGATTCTTCCTAAGAAATCCTGCAATTTGCTTTCTCTCCCTTTACTGCTTTTGTGCTAAACAATCCCCAGACTTTTCCTTACATTTTTTAATCCAGAGGCTATGCTCCAGGAAGGCAGTCATGGGCTGATGATAATCTCAGAAGAGATGGGCAGGAGGGAGAGCAAACATCAGGTCCGAATTAAATGCAAGACGCTGGTACTGATATTCCTGAAACCTAATGTGTGGGTGAGATTCCCCCACACTCTTAGGATACATCCTCCTTTTTGCTTGAGTTTGGCTGCTGGCACTTGCTAGCAAGTGTCCTACACAAAGCACTGGCAGGGCCATTCCATGACAGAAGAATAGAAAGATGTCACTTGTTCCTGGTCTCAAAACAATATCAGAATTTAAGACAGTGACTAAAGTCCTTTCCTTGTCTCACCAGGCACTTTCAGGAAGAGAAGAAAATCTGGAATTTTACTGCAAATATTCATTCTTCTGAAACCAGGAGACAAAGCCTGCAAATTCTCCACTACTCAGCCTCTGAAGTCTCATATCCATTTTAAAGGATGTTGTGAAATTTTAACCATTTATCATGACTGGTTTCTAGCTTCTATGTTACCCTCACTCACCACCCTTCTCTTTATAGAAACCTTGCTTATTTCCCCACATTGTAACAAAGATGTTTTAACAAAGAATAAGAATGTATATTTTCTAGCCTCTTTCCACTTTTGCTGATGCAACTATAAACTATTTGAATTACTTGCATTATGGGTTAAGAACAAAAGTATGTATGTCAGGATGAGTATATTTTCAATTTAAAAACCAAACTAAAGAAATAGGACATGTCACTACTCAGCCATAAAAAAAGAATAAAATAATGCCATTTGCAGCAACATGGATGGAACTGAAGATCATCATTCTAAGTGAAGTGGGCCGGAAAGAGAAAGAAAAATGCTATATGATATCACTTATATGTGGACTCTAAAATAAATAAATAAAATAAAAATAATGACATAAATGAACTAATTATTTATAACTTAGATGATTGATTTCTTGAATATGTGTAAGCACGTTTGACTGTCCTTTATGATTAGATTACCACCTTCTGTTGATTCTTATTTTGTGGTTGGCTTTATTCCTTTGATAACTATGTAAGTTTAAAAAGCTAAAGCTCTAATCTGTTCTTAGAAACAGTGATCAGTACATATACGTAAACTTTAAAAAATGTGCAGTATATTGTATATATGTATTTACATGCAATATAATGTGTATGTGCAATCAAACTGTAATAATTCTACCTAATAAAACTGAAAAAGGAAAAAAAAAGAAATAGGACATGTGCCCCCAACAATGAAAACCAGGAAAGATAAACAGGACACAGTGCACCTCTCAACACTCATCTGTGGGTTGTCAAGTGAGGCACTGGATTAAAAAACCATTTTGCAGGTACTTAACTCAATGACAGTTGGCTTTTGATAGGCCTTTTCTTTATTGCCCAGATAGCAAGACTGCATATTTCTTAGCTTGTGTTCTTAAACCCTAGTACAGTGCCTCTCTATTTGTAGATGTTCAGTAAAGGTCTGTTGAATGAAGAGAAACAGCCCAGGCTCCTGCCAGCTCTGTTGCTTGGCCTGTGTCAAGGTTATAGTCATTATCTGTCTATTAGTCAAAGGCCAGTTCAGAAAACAGACACTGTGTTAGCCGTTTCAAACAGAGGGGATTCTATACAGCAAGGAGATTCAAAGGTAATATTTCCAGGAAGAAGCCGCTGCCATTGCCCCATGGAGCCAGGGAAACACTGGGCACAGTTGGGGTTACTGTCATGGAGAGTCGAGGCCATGAAGAGTTGATTAGGACTCTGAAGAGGGGCACTGCCCAGTGTGGCAGCCACCAGCATCTCTGAGGGGCCAGGATGAGGTTGATCCTGGTGGTGCCAAAAGAAGCTGGAAACGAGAGCAACTGCTCTCACAGAAGCCACGCTGATGGAAGTGGGAGAAAGCACAGCAGCCTTTCTCTCTGGGTTCCTCCCCCTACTCTGCCTCTAGCACAGTGTCTCTCAGTGGGGGTGATTTTGCTCTCCAGGAGACATTGGCAATGCCTGGAGACCTTTTTGGCTGCCACACCAGGTTAGCATCTAGTGTAGGGACCAGGGATCCTGGTGAGCTTTCTACAGTTCAGGGTTCCCCTGATCTGCCCAGGCAATGGGAACCCCCACAACAAAGAATTGCCCAGTCTGGGAGAGTATGGTAGAGATGGTCCCTGACTTTGCTCCCCCTCACAAGAAAAACAGCTAACAACTATTCATGGATAAGACACCACTGAAAAAA